CAGTTCTTATCCTTATATGTAGGATGTTTTTTGCCTCTGCAGCTATAATTTGTTTGCCCATAATGTTCATACAAACATCAATAAGATATGCATTCCATGCATGGCTTTCTGGGGCCTTCAGTACTGTATTCAACATTTGCCATGTTTCCCTTTATTATTCAAAACATACATGCTATATATCATAAGGAGCAACGTCATTTCAATGGCTAAAACAAACCATCACAGGGTAGTTGAACGGTAAATTAGGATTTTTGGATAAATTACTCAAGATGTTTTGAGTTTCATTCATCTTAACCACCCAGTAGAGGTGATCATTAAAGGCTTATCTGGTCGTTAACTTCATGGTTTCAGAGGATTAGTTGAGGTACGTGCAAATTGACCCAGACACTCTAGCTATAAAAAAAAAAAAAAAAAAAAAAAAAGATCAAAACAGAATGCAGTCAATGGTTAATTATATAATTAACTAAGAAGTTAGCTAGAACTCTCACTAAACTTGTTCATTTAATTACTTTGATCAACACGCAACAAACATCACATGTTAGTTAAGTTATATTGAATTATATAATATTTATACTCCAATGAACTAGGGTTTACATGTCACCCACCACATCGCGATAATATTATTTAAGAATTAAGAATCAAATCATATATTCTAGTCGTCTGTATCCTCTCTTTTCATTTGAATACTGGGTATATATATATTAGTCAATCAAAGAATTTTACATTCACACCTTATCGTTTATGTACAAGAAATCTTATAATTTTAGGTTCTAATTTCAAAGCACAACGTTTCTTTTCGTATTTTAATTGCATTTGCACGTTCGAGTTTGCCCATACGAAGAAGAAAATCTAAGTCAGATCAATGATATCTTATGTTATTGATATTAATAGAACTTAATTACTCAATATTGTGCTCTTCACATGGTGAAAATGGAACTATATATCATTGTCGGAGTACACAAAAAGAGTAAAACACTTTTTCCCACCTAAGTTTGCCTTAAGGACATTGCCACCCAAAAAGTTTCAAAATACAACTTTTCCACCCAAAGTTTATATTCCATTTACTACCCAAAATACACTTTCTGATTATACTGCCAACAGAAACTTGGTCTAAATTGTTGAGATTTTTGAAGAAGGGATTCTAGTGAGTCTTTTGGTGGTCAAGATTGGTCGGAATTTGATTTGGGATGGGTGGTTACTTGTTCTACAAATCACTTGATTACTGACGATTGATGGGATCGTCGAGAATAAGGTTTGAGGGGTTTTAGTGAGAGATGATCGGGGAAGAGAATGATGGTTGTTTGGGTTTACAAAGATACTGGAATAAGCCAACGATTGATCGGAATATAAACTTTGAGTGAGAAAGTGGTATTTTGAAATTTTTGTGTGTGAAAGTTTCATTAAGGCAAACCTTGGGTGGGAAAAAGCTATTTACTCTACACAAGAATAAACAAGTCTCAAACTCGTGAAACATGCAGAGAGATTCGATTCGATCTATGTTTAATAATTTCCAAGGTGTATAATTATTATATAACTTGGATTGAATCTCGATTATCTAAAAATGTTTTTACTTTTTATCCAATGACTCATAAATTACCTAATACTTTTGTATTAAAAGAGGTGATATTCTTGAATTTGTCTCTAAACATATACAACACAATATGCTCAAGAGATTATATTACAGGTTCAACAACGAAGACACTATCCGAATAGTAGTTAATATAATAAAAATTGATTTACAATCCAATCTTACAAACTTTCTTTCGCAATTTTAATGTGATAGTTCACAATTGGATAAACGAGACCTACAATTAGACGGACGAGACCTATTACAAGCTATCACGTCAGAGTTCTGAAAGAAAGTTTGTAAGTATAGTATTGCCCGTATTTAATATTCATATCATGGTTGTCAAATCGCGTATCGTATCGTGTATCAAAAATTTAATTTTTCGAATCGTGTATCGTATTGTAAGTTACGCCTTTTTTAAAAAAAATAATAAATTTTTTCTAAAAATTAATATCATCCCCAAGATTAATTAACGAATTTTGTAATATTATTAGCTTTAAATTATGGTATTACATAATCAAAATTAATTACAAAATTAAGAATCTTTATCATTTCTAAGATCAATGTCAATATTTATATCTTCACTTGTGTTATTATTATTATACAAAATGGACAACACATTTTCCTCTTCACTTTCTCCATGCAAAATGGATAAATTTGAGTGGATTTTAGTAAACCGGGTTGTGTGACCTAGATCTGACCCGAAAATTTTCTTGGGTCGAATAAAGTCGTATCGATAATTTTAAAGATACGAACTGATACATATCGTATCGTAGAATACATATCAACGTATCAAAAGGTTTATGATACACTATCTGATACGTATCATTAGTGACCTACATAAAATCGTATCGTGAGATATATATCGCATATTGTAAGACATTAATAACCACAGTTCACATGTTTGCAAACGCTTTCCCTTTTTTGTTCTGAGTGAAGAATTCGAACAATGAACTGTCTAAGTATGGGCAGTGAAGGCTGGCTGGAGTCTGGAGACTCTGGACAATTAATTTTAGTTAATTACTTTGCAATCGAGAGGACTGTTGCCAAAATATCAAATTCTGTTCTGTATATGCTGGGAAAGATAAAAAAACCCTTCACCTATTCTCTGTTTCTTCACCTAGTTTGCAGCATTATTCAATGAATCAAGACAAAGCACATAAAATATTTTCTTTTCTTTTTTCATCCTGACGAATTATTAGTAGGGTTAGGTTATTAATTAGGTCCATGTATGCATGTTCTATTTCTATATTTGCAACGATGCTCATCAATCTCAATTATGTTTCAGTGTTTCCATCGTTTTTTCGTTCTATTTGACAGGTTGACAGCTAGCTCTTTGGTGTACCATGAATATGTTGAGGCAAAAATAAGAAAGATGACAGATCGATTCATTGTAGTTTATTTAGAAAGCGCCTTGCTTTAAGAGTTTAGAAACTGGTTTTCTGACCCATTTATTTTGGTTATAGTTTTCTATATATAAAAACCTTTTGTCCAAAACTTATCCATGCATAAAGCCTTTAAAATAGTATATATTCATTCATTATCTATCTTATCCTTTTATCAAAGAGTTAACGATTTTTTCCAATCCAAACAATGGTTTAATGATATTTTTTCACGTACAAATTTTTAAAATACTATTTTACTACTAAAATTTATATTTTGATGGCGAATAAAGAGTAAATTCGATCCAGACTATTAGAACTTTTGAAGAAGAGAGACCGATAAATCTTTTGGTGATTGAAAGTTGAATTTTTATAGTTTGGATTGATTGAAATTTGACTTGGAAGAGACAACTGTAAAAACCCTAATCTTTCAATTATTGACGATTAATAGGGTTAATATGAATAGAGTTTGAGGGGTTTTGATGAATGATGATCATGAAAGAGAATAATAATAATATGAGGTCGCAATGATGCCAGAATTATAAATATAATATAAATTTAAATAATAAAATAATATTTTAAAAATTTATGTATGAGAAAGTATTATTAAGCCATTATTTGGATAAGAGAATGCCGTTTACTCCATTTTCTATATATAAAACCTTTTGACGAAACCTTATCCATGCATAAAGCCTTTAAATTAGTCTCTATTTATTCATTCATCTTGTCCTTTTATCAAACCCTTAAACCCTTAAAATAGGCTGTCTTCATTCACCATTTACATTTCGATATGTCTTTTCAATACTTCCTTCTCAATTAACGTAACATTAACTTAACTTTATGTAACGATAAAATCTCCGAAACGACTCCATTTTAATATAAATTATCACATAATTTTGAGTAATTGAATTAATATATTTTTGATATTTAAATATGATATAACGAATTTGTAGATTATATAAATGAGTTATTTTCAATCATTTAAATGTATTAAGTCAAAGCGTAAGAAACTAAAATGTAAAACCCTTTGAACATCTCCTATCTTTGGATAGCTCAAGTGGTAGGATAAATATTTGAATATATGATTAAGGTGTACGATTTCAAGTTTTAATGTTCTGACTTTTAAGATTTAAATGAGAGGTCGTGACGATGGTTTAATACATTAGTCTCTTCCAAAGAGCAATTAAGATATGCATAAATTGACTTGAATAAGTTGATTAAAAAAAAAAAATTATATAACTCTTTTGAAATGTAATAGATATAATTAATTATCCATATTTAAATAATTATGTAACAATCTAATAATAATACTACACCCACAATATTTTTATATAATTTTTTTCTTACAAACTTATGTAATAAAGGATAATTGAGTTATTTTAAATTTAAAATAAACTTTTACTTAATCGTATTTTACCATATAAGTTTGTATAAAAAAATTATTAATATAATATTATTTATAATTTAATCAATAATATTATATTTACAAAAAATTCTTATAAAAATTTTCATATAAAACGAAGGGAAAAGAGTGACCCATTATATTTACACTTTTATTTATTTTTTACCGCATCGGTATTCGTAGATTTATTCAGCTTAACATTACACTAATCTAATTTAGCAACCAGATCAGTTAAGCTTTCCTAACATCCTAGTCATGACACGTGTCTGAGTACGACAACTTTGACTTACTAAGCCTGGAGCGTATAAGAAACTCATTGCTGACTCAGCTCTTTGTGGATAAGCTTCACAACAAGTAAAAGGGGATTAATCATCAACATCACCATCAAACTACATTTCCACACGAGTAAAGGTTAGAAAAATCAACCTCATGGCCCCCCAAGAATCCAGGGAACACCGGTGGCCGGTAACCAGTGACTTGATAATGTGACGCAACCAAACAACGCTGTTTTTGTAGGGCCGAGTTTCTGGGTCCGCTGTCCATTTTCCCATGCAAATTTGGCTATAAATACGTGGCGATAGTTGCGAGTCTCTAACTTACTGCTTCAACAACGTACGTGTTCATCTCTGCTCACTATCAAAAACACTTTCGTTTTTTTCATTTCCAAATCTTTGTTCTTCTTCTTTGCATTATTTGTTTTTGTTTCTGTTTGATTATTGTCAAGTTCAAAATGTGTGGAATACTTGCTGTGCTTGGTTGCTCTGATGACTCTCAGGCCAAAAGGGTTCGCGTGCTTGAGCTCTCTCGCAGGCAATTTTCTTCCATTTTTTTTTTTTTTACCTTCATTTTCATACCCTTTTTGGTTTTTATGTTCTTCCTTTCTGCAATTTTATATTTTTCAGTTGTGTAGCTGAGCTTTTTGTATAGTCTTTTTGTTTTGTTTACGGGTTCATAACCATTAACCAACTTAGATTTTGGTTATGGATAGATATAGGACCCAGAGACTACGTTATTCTTGGAGCCAAAAGTCAGTTCCCGAATAAAAAAGCATTATATTTAAAAATATAATTAACATTCAACATCACCTTTTTTAATCTATATTTTTCGTGTGGGGTTTATGAGGCCCATGTGACGTGCTGTGGACCAGTAGTATGTTTTGTTAAATATATATAGAAACTAAAATTGATGCGACTCTGTTAATACTGTAATAGGTTGAAGCATCGTGGTCCTGACTGGAGTGGTATTTACCAGCACGGAGACTTTTATTTGGCTCATCAACGTCTAGCCATTATTGATCCTGCTTCTGGTGATCAGCCTCTTTATAATGAAGACAGGAAGATTGTTGTCACGGTAAGCCACACATTAATATGGCCATAAAGTGATACCAGTTTAATTTAATTTATTTACAGATGATTGATGTGTTAAAAACTTAAACCTGCAGGTTAATGGAGAAATTTACAATCATGAACAACTGAGGAAGCGTTTGAAGAATCACAAGTTCCTTACTGGCAGTGATTGTGAAGTTATTGCTCATCTGGTGGGTCACCTTAGCATGAAGTTTTAATCTTAATTTCTTCAATTTACATCCTTGTTGTATCGAATTTTCTCTATGTTTTGATTAATGATTTTTTGTTTATGATGGTATCGTGGTTCTTGCATGTTCTGATGGCTGTTATAATTAATCAAACTCTGGTTTGTGAATGTTCAATTTTAGTACGAGGAGTATGGAGAAAATTTTGTGGACATGTTGGATGGAATGTTTTCATTTGTGCTGTTGGATACCCGTGATAATAGCTTCATTGCTGCTCGGGATGCTATTGGAATCACTTCCCTGTACATTGGCTGGGGTCTAGATGGTAACATGATCTTCTTAGATCTTGCCTCTAAAGCACATTGATGTTTGTTTGTGTAAATTTTTTATTTTTTTTAATTGGTTTCTTTTTGTTCTGTCTATGTAGGCTCTGTTTGGATATCTTCAGAACTCAAGGGTCTGAATGATGACTGTGAACATTTTGAGACTTTTCCTCCCGGTCAGTTGTACTCGAGCAAATCTGGAGGATTTAAGCAATGGTATAATCCTCCTTGGTTCTCTGAGGTTGTTCCTTCGACTCCATATGATCCACTTGCTCTACGACGGGCATTTGAAAATGTAAGATTCATAAACTGTAATCCCAAGTGGAATTGAATTGAATGTTCTCTTACGGCTTTCTTAATTCACATCAAGTTGAATGCTATATGTGCAGGCTGTAATCAAAAGGCTGATGACTGATGTCCCTTTCGGAGTCCTGTTATCTGGGGGCCTTGATTCATCGTTGGTAGCTTCAATCACAGCACGCCACTTAGCTAGTGCAAAGGTTGCTAAGCAATGGGGAACACAACTTCATTCCTTTTGTGTTGGCCTAGAGGTTGGTTGCGAATAATGACACATTACAGTACAACTTCGGATGAGTTTCTTTAGTCCTAAACTTGGTCTCTCCATATATTTTCAGGGTTCTCCAGATTTGAAGTCTGCAAGAGAAGTTGCAGACTACTTGGGTACTGTGCATCATGAATTTCACTTCACTGTTCAGGTATTGAGACAATTTTTTTTTTTTTTTTTTTTTTTTTTCACTACAAACTACAATAGCTCTTGCTTCTATGGCTATCTGAAACTGTAAACTATATGTCTTTGGCATTTGGCAGGATGGAATTGATGCAATTGAAGACGTGATCTACCATATTGAAACATATGACGTGACGACTATCAGGGCAAGCACACCTATGTTTCTTATGGCACGTAAGATTAAGTCACTTGGGGTAAAGATGGTGATGTCTGGTGAGGGCTCTGATGAGGTTTTTGGCGGCTATTTGTACTTCCACAAGGCACCTAACAAGGAAGAATTCCACCGTGAAACATGTCACAAGGTAATAGCTGTTATATGGCATATAGTTTACTATGTACAGGGCTTCCGATGTTTAGATGTGAAGGAAATTAATGGTTCTCTTCTGATACATGTATGTATGTAGATAAAGGCCCTCCACCAGTACGATTGCTTGAGAGCAAACAAATCAACATCTGCATGGGGTCTGGAAGCTCGAGTACCCTTCCTCGATAAAGATTTTATTAATGTGGCAATGGCTATAGATCCTGAGTGGAAGATGGTATGAAATAAGTTGTATATTCTCTTGGTTTTTCTTTATTCATATGATAGCAGGCAGATCTCATAGCTTATACAATGTCATTGATTATTTTTTAATCATTTTCAGATCAAACCAGAAGAAGGTCGTATTGAGAAGTGGGTTCTTAGGAGGGCCTTTGACGATGAAGAGCGTCCCTATCTGCCAAAGGTAAAAGCACAATCAATGATTTGCTGCTGTTTTATCCACAAGTAAGATTGATTGTTTAATTAAACATGTTCTGTTCCCTATTTCCTGCAGCATATTTTGTACAGGCAGAAGGAACAATTTAGTGATGGGGTTGGCTATAGTTGGATTGATGGCCTCAAAGCCCATGCTGCACAACATGTATATATACCGTCCTCTATTTGGTTCCTTCACCATTTATTTTGATTGCTGGTCAAGAAGAAGTTAAATTAGAATGAATCATGACTTTTTCACATTTTATAGGTGACGGATAAGATGATGCAAAATGCTCAGCACATCTACCCACACAACACCCCTTCCACAAAAGAAGCCTACTATTATAGAATGATCTTTGAGAGGTTCTTCCCACAGGTAATCTAGTTGAATTTAGATAATTGTTTACTCTACTTTGGTGATCTTTTTAGCATGAACTAATTGTATCATGTTTTTCTATTATCTCCTATGACAGAACTCAGCTAGACTGACCGTCCCTGGAGGGCCTAGTGTAGCCTGTAGCACTGCGAAAGCTATAGAGTGGGATGCTGCTTGGGCGAACAATCTTGATCCCTCTGGTAGGGCTGCCCTGGGAGTCCATCTTTCAGCCTATAGCCACCAGGCAGCTACCACCACTGCTATGAAGCTGCCATCAAAGGTCATTGATGATATGCCACGGATGATGGAAATTAGCACCCCAGAACTTGCAATCTCCAGCTAGTGCCTGTTAGAAGACAATAAAGTGGGTGAAACTTATGGCTTCAATGGATCTTTTAGATATCCTTTTGGATTGTAATATTGATTTAGGCACTGTGTACAAGTTAGAAAAATGTTCCTTGTGGTTGTTTAAATATGTGTTATCATCATCATCATCATCATCTTCTTCTTCTTTTCAATTCTGTTATCAATAAGTTGTACTTGCTTAAATGAAAATGGCAACTTTCCTTTGTGTTAAGATCTGTTCACAAGGGTTGGATGATTCCTTTCAGTATTTTTGTATACAAAAGAAAAAATTATCAATGAGAACAAACTCTTCTGTACTGATATGGATGATGGACTGGGCCATGGTGACAAAACCCAAACACTAAAGTTTGAAGATTAACCAGAGAATTTTTATTTCCTTTCACAAATAATATTGCATATTTTACAGGAGACAATTAATAGAGACTTGCAATTCAGAAACTAGAGTTTGCTACATCTGATCATCTTAGTTAAGGAACTAAAAATACAAGTGCTATTTTGCATCTTGAATTAATAAAAATATTCAATTAGAAGAAACCACATTCTCCTTAAAATTACTTAGTTGAACAAAGCTGCTGAAAATAGTTGGTTCCAAGTATCAGGTAATCCTGGAAGGCACCAATGGCTACAATCAGCATTGTCAGGGTTAGCCTTTTGCTCTGGGTTCGAATCACCACTATAAATTGAAGGGTGCCCATCTTTCCTTAGCTCTGATAGCATTGTTATGTCTAACAAATATGCAGGGTTGGTCATCTCCCTCATCACTGCATCCACCACTCTCATTTGATCGGGATAAGCTCCAGGGTATATTGTTCCACTCATCGGTGCTGTTTCGCCATAGCAATTCTTTGTTGTAGTTGAAGTTGCTCCAGCACTCCATTCATTTGGACTGTCAAGTCAATGTCATTTACCAACATTACTCACATTACTATACAACCCATAATAATGTCTTTCCAGTACAGACGTCGGCAACCATAAGAAAATGCAGACTTATCCATTGAAGTCAGTTTAACTAATGTTATCTGACTGACCTCACATAACTGTTCATATTTTATTTCAGACTTCTACAAATTAATGGACATGGCTATAATTTCTTTTTCTTGACTGTCCGTTAAGTGACATAGTTTACAGGTTTCTTGATCTTTTCATAAATGAGGGTTAAAATTGTTCATTTTTGCATGCTCCAGAATTTGCAGAGAATGGATACACTATATGATTCAAATAGAGACTTGGGAAGTGGTCCATTGGAATGTGCAGCAAGCATTAAAAAACAGTACCAACTTTGTCTTTCTGCTGGGTACTGCATACTTTTAGTTCCATTTACGAAAATGAAATTATTTTAAAAGTAAGTTTTAAATGCTACCGACACATTTTGACCGACACATTTTGATTGAAAATGGTATGCTCCTGTTACAATGTTCACGAGCTGGTAAAAGTACTGCAGTTGAACATTGATTTATAACTGTAGATTCAACTGTCTATTCAAATCCTGTATATGTATGGTCCATACTAAATGATATACTACTTTTGAATCTACTAATCTAACTGCTAAAAAAAACTTTATGGATTCACAAAATGAAGTTCTGTTTGTTATATCTGGGATCTGTTGATTGCTTGCATGGAGGGCATGGTTTATTTTAGTGTGCTAATGGCATTAAAGAAGGCCTTGCAACTTGCAAATTTGAGGCTATGACTCTACACTACACATTTTTTTATAATCAATTTGGACCAACCTGGGGATGGCCATAACTGGCCCCTTTAAATGCACACAGCTCCAATTGGACCGAATTTTTAGTGCTTTGTGCTATCCTTTTAGCAAGCAAAAACAACAATAATAAAAGCTAGACTTTCACCGCACACAATTATATTAGAGAGAGAAACAGAGAGAAGAGTTTAAAGTCCTTACTTGTAATGTGTAGGAGAAATTGACTGGAAAAATACTCTTGTTTTGGTTCTGTCAACATTGGTGTCAACCCAATTGGCCCATGTTCTCAGTGCTTTGTCCAAAGCCACTAATCGATCCATGTCTTGGTAAAGCGTACCCTTTGATTCCATGTAATCCCATCTGCATAGTTCAACATAAATCTTTCAATCATACAAATTCAATTACGGTATCTTTATTGGATTACTCAAACTATTGTAAGCTTATATGAATAATTATATAGGCAAAGTCAAAATATGGACCCTTGGAGAGACCCGTCGTGGCTCCACCAGTGTCCAGTGTTGAAAGATAATACATCTGCAGCACGCCAGTATTTGCCATTCCCATTAATGTCCTCTAACTTCAGAACCCTCTTCCCTTTTACGATGTCTATTTCTACCAAATATGGAGCTCTGTAAAATGACACTGATAAACCATAATCCTGCACAATTAGCCATAATAAACCATTATAAACAAGAGGGTCGTATCAGTTTGATAATGTTATCAAATGGATAATTTAGTTACAAAGTAACAGATAGTTGTGATGTACAAATATCTAATAATAATATCCGCCGTTACGATAATAAATTAATAATACCATGAAAAGAATACAAAAAGAAAGAAGACAGAAGAAAACTATAATTGTATGTTGACTTTAAAATGAGATTAATGCATTGCAGTTGGCATGAATTGGCTCAAATTATGCTGACAAATACTGTACTAGATTGAAATGCAGTAAAACCAAAAGTTCTTGAGCGTTATCTTTTTGCACTTTTCTTACTTTTGCTTTCATTATTCCGAAAAGAAAACTCATAATTTGAGTAATTTTAAAGAATTAAACAAGGTTTTGCATGAAAAAGACAGAGAATTAAAGTAAGAGTCACATCTTTGCTACTGTAAAAGATGCTTCAAATTAATAGCAGTCTAAAATAATAGGACTTACCAAGAACTTGAATGTAGAAAGTGGATCTCCTTTAATCATCTGTGTCTGTGTTTCTGGTGCAGCTGCGTAAATCATGCAAATCAACGACTCCCATTGGTTTCTTCCCAAGGAATCACCAACAAACATCACTGTTTTGCCTTTCATTTTCAGCAAAAATTCAAGCCCATTGAACCTGCCACACAAAGTTCAAAATTACTGTAACACTTCTCTCTTTTGCAAACGTTCTGGTTTCTTTAAAATTCAGAATTAAACTCACGAAGGAAAGGGTTCAAGTTCGGACTTTTTTTTCTAAATAGAAATCATTTCCCACACGAAGAAATCTATGTTAAATGTAGTAGTTGAGTTTAACATATAGTTTTTTTGTTTTTTACCTTGGGAGCTCACAATTCAGAGGCTGCCATCTATATTTGAGATAACCAGAGTCAGGACGACCGTTCATTTTGCAGTTGAATTTTGCATCAATAAAGGGACATTGAGAAGATTCGTACACGGGGTACGTGTCATCACGAACCCAAGCGCCTGCAAACAATGCACAAGTGCTTTGGTTGGCTTGCAGCATTGGCCTTCTATGGTGACCATGAATATTGTGGTTTCTCATGCTCATTATGACAGCAGATGAAACTGCCAGCGGTTGAACTAACAAAACTAAACATAAGATTGTGAAAAATGAAGCAAGTAGATGACAAAAAGAAGAAGAAGAAGAAGATTGAGAATGAAGAAGAGCCATATTAGAAAAAAAGCAAAAGCTAAACGGAAGAAAGAGTATGAAGAGAGGAGGGAACTATCTGTTTTGTAACGTATATATTTATATATAACAAAAGTGGGGATTAAATCATATAAAAGAGTGGGGTTTTTGTATTGTTGTGTACATGTGAAGGTAGCTGAGATGGGTTCACGTGAGTTAATGGATTGGTGGTGGTGTCTTGTGAATTTGATTTGGACTTCTGAAACTCAAAAAAGACCTCCTTAATTCTACTTGTAAAGCAGTTTGTCAGCAAGACCTTTTGTCCACAAGATTTGGTAGTTTATTTATCTTTAATTTCAGATATTAGTTTTGAGAGATTGAAAAGCTAGCAACCAAGTAGATAACCATACAAGCAAACAAGAGGGAGCTCAGTTAGAAGATGGGGCCAAAATGTTAGAGAGCCAATTGTTTTTGTAGCTTTATGTTTGTTTGTTGAAGAGGGTGAACTTACAAAACCCACCTGGAAAAAAGGGGTCCTTTTGGTGGGTTTTGTGGGCGCCTCAAAGGGTTTGATTCTTATCTCTCTTATCTTGTTAATAGAAAAGGAGAAAGAATACTTGCCGTATGACCAAAACAAAAAGCACTTCTTGCAATTGCCCCCCCTTTCTAACAAAGAATGAAAATTTTTGAAAGCACATGTTCTTTGCTTTCCTTCACTCATGAAACATGGAACATAATCCTCTCTTAAGTTTATTTTAAAGTATCTTGGTGCAATCTTCATGCATCATCCTGATCATCAGATGCTCATCAAATTACTATGCCATGAAAATTTTGTTCTAAAGTTTGATTCATATAGGCCAGTTATGGATGAACTTAAAAGTAGGATGAAAGTCAAAATCCAATCTTTTTGTCAGAATTACTTGAAGAAGTGATGGTGATATCTTAGTACAAATTTACAGGCTGTTTCAACTTTAATTCAAAAGGTTCACCCGCTAAGACTATGATGCACAGAAATTGAAGTTTAACCATTTCATGTGATCAACCTTTATGACTGTCTTTTGGCTCAAAATTTTTATTAATTAGGCATATGCTTTTAAACCTCACTAATATGGCAACTTTTGGCGAGTGTGTTTAACTGTCGATATCTTGAAACAGAGGAATTCATGAATGGCAATGGCAGAACATGACACATTTTTGCATTCTTTCATTTGAATAAGTGGTTTGTGGTTTATACTTTACATTGCCAACATTTAACTCCACATATAAACTGAGATTATCTATTTAGCGCAAAATTTACTAGTTAAACTATGGGGTTCCTTTATAGAAAATCATATAAAAAGGGAATGTGGGTCCTTTTGTGTGGAACCCATAACGTCGTTAGGCGATAATAAAGCATGTGTTGTTGCTATTTTGTTGTGTGCATAAGAAGCAAAGTTTGCTGCTGCATTTATCCAATAAGCTCAATCACTATTTTAAAATCCGGCCTGACCTGGACAGATGATCGGATCCGATCTCAGGTTAACCGGTTGAACCAGTTAAACTGATGGATTAAACTGATGACATCATGACATCACCCAATTAATGTTTTCTGTCTACTTCTCCTTCTTTATCTCATTAGCTCATTTATCTCTCACCTCTCATACGTGTCCACCAACAAACAGCTTTTCATTTGTTTTTCATTAAATGTCATGCAATTGAGTACACTCTTGACATTTAATATTTGTTTTTAATTTTCAATGAAAGCTCATTAAATGCAATATAAGTAAACCATCTTTCTTTATTAAATTAAATGATTTATTTTCAATCTCTTCTATCTTAAATTGCAGGAACGAAGAAGAGTAGAGAGAGAAAGCTTCAGTAACTTCTTTCTCCAACTCTCTTTGTTGTTCTTTACTCTTTCATTTCTTCTGTTTTAATTATTAAAGCTCTTCCGATTCTTCAGCTTTCCTCTAATCAAAAGGTGCATGCCTTCTACACCAAAAACACACAAGCATATCTACTCTTCCTTTTTTACAAAATCCTCATTTTCTTCTCTCTTATTAGCTGTGTGCCGCCACTGTTATATGCACCTCCACCATTCTCCACCACCATAGCCACCGCAGTAGCAACAGCTTAGGGTTTCAACTCCTCTCACTTGTTTTTTCTCCTCTTCTTCGAGTTGGATTCTCTCTTCTTCGAGTGGCTTCGTTGATTAGTATTATTTTTTTGGGTTGATTAGCCTCATGGCTTTAATTGAAAATTGTAAAAAGGATTTGAATATTAGAACTTAGGAATTTGAGTTGACAAAGCCGGTTGGACCGGTGGATCGCTGCAGTAAAACCGATCCAACCACGGGTCAAAACGGGTCAATTCTCATTTCCGGTTTTCTACCTTGACCGATCCGGCTAAGCCATCGGTTCTCGGTCGAATGGGTTAAACCGGTCGAGCCAGTCCGAGTTTTAAAACCTTGCTAGTGGGTTGAACTAGTTCAATCGGGACTCAAAGTCTTCACCGGGTCGGATTACAAATTTTCCTATTAATTCAAAACCTTAGAAATTATGACAAAAAGATGTGAACCATTGAAGACAAGAATGTTAGGGTTTTTGAAGAGAAACTGTCGGTGTGTGCAATGCTGGCAACGGTGTCGATTTCTAGTGAAAGAATCGACCGAAAATCGCAAAACAATGTCGTTGGAAAAATCTTGCTGTCGTCGACAATTGGAGAGGCGTGTGATGAGTTTTGGTCATGAGGCTAAGGGGAGTGTTTTTGTGGTGATCTAAAGTGTTGTCGTCGCCAGAAACAAGCTCTATTTGCCGACGCTAACGATGGCGTTTAAGGTGTTTTTTTAAGATTTCAAACTTATAGGGACTTACATGCAATCTTCAGGGACATTTTTGTTAAATTTTAAACTTTTAGACATCGGTTTGAACCACCGGTCAAACCAGTCAATCTGGGACCTAGCCACTTTGCCGGGTTGGGTTTTAAAATATTGAGTTCAATCCAAAGAGGACTCTTTCATTGAATTGGGAGGTTACATATATATAATAAACATATAAGCAAGCATTTGAAGAATTGGAACTAAGAGCTTGCAGCATACAAGATGAAAATATTTTTACAGGAGAGCAAAGTGTCACGCACTTAACTTCTTTGTTAAATTTGTGCGGCCTTAACTCTTCGGAAATGAGTTAAGCAGCCTAACGCTCACACAAACTCACAGGCTAAAAAGTATATAAGCGAGAGAGAAGTGTAGAGAAAATCTAAACTCTGTATTGATGGAATTCAAGTTATGAACTTTATATGGTGGAGTTGCCTATTTATAGGCTCAAGCTCCTCAAATTAATATGACTAAGCTACATGCTTCAGCATTAAGAAAACCCTGGGTGTCAAGCATTGGTGCAGTCTTGGAAACGAAGCTCGTGGGTGGCAAGCATTGGAGCAACCTTGGAAACGAAGGTGCTTAGTTGCCGAACCTAGCTGCTGAGTCATTAACTTAGCTCTTAAGTTAACTTAGCTCTTAAGTATGCTTCACCCTGAAGTATACTTAATCAGTAAGCAACGTGCAACATGCTTGGGCAAGCAGGTTGGTCGTGACATTCTCCCGCACCTAATGCTGCGACGCCCTCGTCGCATTATCTTTATAGCGTAGGACTGAATCTTGGAATTGCCACAATGAGTCTTCGGTCTCCCAACTGGCTTTGGCATCAGGAAGTGCCTTCCATTTGATGAAGTATTCCCGATAATTTGGCACACCACGTCGGCGAATGACTCTGTCGGCAAGTATTTCTGCAACTTCCTTATCAAAGGATGTTACAATGGCTATTGATGCTCGTTTAGAGACTCCTCGGGATGGCTCCTCTAGGTCTTTATGGAATGACTTCAACAAGCTTACATGAAAGACCGGGTGTATCTTCAGTTTCGGAGGAAGTTGAAGTCGATACGAAACTTTGTCGATGCGTTGTATCACTTGAAAGGGCCTTTCATATTTGCGCACGAGGCCTTTGTGCACCTTCCTTAATGTCTTGAACTGCTGGGGCAGTATCTTTATGAGAACAAGATCACCGTCCTGGAACTCAAAGTGCCTTCTTTTCTTGTCAGCCCACTTTTTCATTCTCTTCGCTGCTTTGTGTAGGGCTTCACGAGCAAGTTCAGTCTGTTCGTGCCAAGACTTGGCTAACCTGAAGGCTGCGGGGCTCTTCCCATCGTAGCGAGTGGCTAGGGAAAGAGGTGTGTTTGGTTGTCGTCCCATGATGATCTTAAAAGGACTTTTGTTGGTTGCCTCACTCCGCTGCAAGTTAAATGAGAATTGGGCTGTTTCAAGGAGCTTTGCCCAATCCCTCTGGCTAGCGCTCACATAGTGCTGTAAATATAGCTCTAACAGTGCATTGACGCGTTCGGTCTGACCATCAGTTTGGGGATGAAAGCTGGTCGAGAAGTCTAGGTTTGATTCTGGCATCTTCAATAACTCTGTCCAAAATCTCCCGGTGAACCGAGGATCTCGATAATTGACTATGCTTGTCGGAATGCCCCATAACTTGATGATGTTGCGGAAGAAAAGCTTGGATGTTTCCTTTGTTGTGCAATCGGTGGATGAAGGGATGAAAGTGGCATACTTGCTAAATTTGTCCACAACGACTATGATGCTCCCGGATACCTCGGACTTTGGCAAACATGTGATGAAGTCCATTGAGACACTCTCCCATGGTCTCTCGGGCACGGGCAATGGTTGTAGCCAGCCTACCGGTTGTTGTAGTACTACATTGTCTTGCTGGCAAACAAGGCACGTATGTACATACCCCTCAATGCTATCCTGCATCCTAGGCCAATAGTAGGCAGATTTTAAGAGAGCAAGGGTGCGTCTCATACCTGGATGGCCTGCCCACAAGGAGTCATGACACTCCTTGATCAGTTCTTTCCTCAGATTGTCCCATCTCGGGATGTAGAGGCGGTTGCCTTTGGTGTAGAGTAAGCCGTCAGTCAGCCAAAACCTCCGGGCTTTCCCTTCTTCTACCAAGGCAATGATATTTCGAGCCAATGGCTCATGCTGGAGTCGCTGCTTGATTCGGTCAGCCAATGCGCTTGTGACTTGACTGATGCTAGCCAACTCGGCTTTGCGGCTTAGTACATCTGCCACCACATTGGTCTTGCTCGGCTTGTACTCCAAAACATAATCAAACTCAGCAAGAAAGCCCTGCCATCGTGCCTGCTTCGGACTTAACTTCTTTTGGGTCTGAAAGTAACTTGTCGCGACGTTGTCTGTCAAAGTAACAAACTTGGACCCAAGCAAGTAGTGTCGCCATACTCTAAGGCAATGGATGATGGCTATCATCTCCTTTTCTTGCACAGTGTAACGCTGCTCGGTCTCATTGAGCTTTCGACTCTCGTAAGCAATCGGATGCCCATTCTGCATG